AGGGACGTTTTATAGTCTGCGCAGATTCGCACGCTGCCATCTTTTTTGAGGGGGGTGACTATGGGTGTTTCCCATTTTGCAAAATCTACTTGCTCTAGCACCCCTTGCTTAATTAGCTTATCTAGTTCTGAATCCAATTTAGGGCGAATGGCAAAAGGAACTCTGCGAGGTTTTAAATGAATGGGTGTGGCTTGTGGGCCTACATCAAATGAGATAGGGGTACCTGAATAACATCCCAGCTCATCACTAAAAACATCAGCGTAGTCCCTAAAGAGGGTGTCTACTTCAGTATTCACCACAGAGTGAATCCCAGTTACACTAAGGCCAAGAGCAGGCAACCAATCTAGCCCAAGCAAGCTGGGAAGGGCACCATCTACAACCACCAGAGGCAAGTGGCCTCTAAAGTTCTGGAATTGAATTAAGAACTTGCCTTTCCCCAGGACTGGAATGGTCTTCCCCTGATAGTCTCGAAGAGTCAGGTGGCAGTTGAGCAGCTTCTTCTTGGACAGTGTAGGGAGCAGCTTCTTCAGGGTGGCCCACGAGATGATAGAGAGGGCAGACCCGGTGTCCACCTCCATCCGGCAGGGCTTACCTTCTAAAAAGACAAAAATACTTATTTTGTTAGACCCAGGGGTGATATTGTCTGAGTGGTAACAGGTGTAGCAATCTTCAACTTGCCTTTGGAAGGAGGAAGTGGCTTGAGGTCTTTGTGGGAAGGTTTTTTCAGCTTGGCAATCCCTAGCTATGTGGCCTTTTTTCTGGCAGTTTAGGCAGATGGCATTTCTGAATCTGCATGTTGACTTGAGATGTGCCCCCCCCCCCCCCAGCTCAGACAATTGGGTTGCTGTCTGGCTGTTGGGTTGGTGTTTTTCCTTGGCATCTCTGGAGGGGGTCTTGGTTGTCTGAGACGGTTTACATCAAGCAGTTCTTCCTCTAGGGAAACTTCATCGAAATGAATGGTAGAGCTTCCTTGCTTTATGGGGTTCCCCTGAATCTCAGCTGCTGACAGCTCAGACAGCTCAGCAGCCTGAGCTTCTTCTATGGCTAAGGCTAGGGTTAAGTCCTTTTTTGC